CTTAGATTCTAATTGTGAGATTCGACCGCCACAAGTACATCTTCCTCCCGGGAGCGTGATTTTCCCATCGCTCAAAACACTCTCTCTCATTTCAATGACGTGTGAAGATTTTGAGTTGTATCATGATTTCATCTCTGCATGCCCTCTGCTTGAAGACTTATCCCTATATTATAGTCAGGATCAAAGTACCCCGCCTTGGAGTGGGGTTGTGTTGAATCCTTCCATCAAGCAACTGACTTTTTTCATGATTTTCCCGAATACGGCGAGGCTGACGACGATGGTTGTTGTTTAACGACACCGAGTCTTGTGTACCTCGACTATTCTAGTTATGTCGAAGAAGATTATGAGGTTGATTTAGCTTCCCTTGTAGAAGCTAGACTGGATCTTCGACCATGGGAGCGACTTAAAGATAAGAATGGCGAAGGTGATACAGATGATAGTGTTTTTGGTGTGGATGTTTTTGGGAATGTCACGGATCTGGTTTCAGGGATAAGCAATGTGAAAATCCTTCACTTGTCTGCAGATTCTCTTGAGGTCAGTTTTTCCAAATTATTGTGTATGCTAGCTAGTAAAAGTCTCATTTTATATATGTATGTGTGTGTGTTTGTGATAACAAATCAGGTGTTTCACTTTTTATGCCGGTCTTTCACAACCTCCTCACTTTATCTTTTGAGAGTGACAAAGAAAAAGGTTGGCAAGTGTTGCCACTTCTACTCAACAACTCCCCAAACCTAGAAACTTTAGTCATCAAGGTAATTAATAAGATATCAGTTTCATTTGATCAACAACTTACAATTTGTTTTATTTGCGGTCATATTTTATACAAATTTCCTTATGCTTTCAGGGTCTTGTGCACCAAGTTACGAATAGATGCGGGGACGCATGTGCTTGCATCACTAACAAGAAGAAAAAGAAGAAGGTGGAATGTTGTTTATTGGCATGTCAAGTGAAGGTGCTAAAAATTTTAGCGTATCGAGGAACTTGTAGAGAGATGAAACAGATGAAACATTTCTTAGCAAATTTGAAATGCCTTGAAATTGTCAAGGTGGGAGTTAAAGTGAATAGCCGAGAAGACAAGAGTAATGTTGATAATAAATACCTAGGAATCACCAATGCTCTTCTTAAGCTTCCAAGAGTTTCATCAAACTGCCAAATCCATTTCTTCTGATTTATCTTCTCCTACTTTTTTAATTGTTGCAACCGCTAGTATCAAACTCTAGAATTTAAATTGTTGAATTTGAAAGAATTCAAAACAATTTCTCAACGTTAGATTTTAGAAAAAATTATGAGATTTTTTTCGATAAATTCTATCCAAATGACACTTTGAAAGCTTGGATTTGGTTCTTCATATTGAGTTATGGTATTACTACTTTTAGCCAAGTTTTCATCTTCTATAAGAAAACACTCTAATTACATCGACAATAACGTCGTGGTGAGATTTGGTTTTACCTTTTCTTCCGATTCAGAAAAGGCGAGCTGACAAGTCTATGTGAAACCGCTCCATTGAACCGCCCCCAAGAAATGTGGAGCGGAGTGGCGAGTTGACAAGTCTATATATATGAAGAAACATCAAGAGGCAGAGGAGGATCTTTTCTACTATTTTTTTAGACACAAAAACATTATGCTCTACGAGTACGAGCAGTATTGTAAACACATCTCACTCGAGATCTTCTTTGTATATTCGATTATTATCAATATAAATCCAATTTGTCGCAACTCATCTCATTTGTTTATCAGATTTAGATATTTTCTTAGGACTAAAGTTTCTTTCCCGAATTCACATATAAATTCTAAGTGCGAAATTGAGCTTCCACATAGTTCATATCATTATTCCAAAGTAGAGTCTTTAATTTTCTTGTTTCTTTCTCAACCTTTGTGCTTGAGATCTGTGCAAAACCAACGTTTGAATCGTTGTTCATGCTTGGCTAATTCCTGCTTCAACTTTCTATTTCAAGGTTATTGCATTTGGTTCCAAACTCTACGATAATAGCTCCCACAATCCGTAATTTTAGTAGAGCTTTTTCAAACTCCATTGTTCTTGTATTTGTAATTTTTGATGGTCATGGCCATGCAAACGCAAAAAATATAGTCAAGCTCTAGGTTGCACTGGGACCAGTACGGGGACAAGAAACGGGGACGGCACCGGGACGGAAAACGGTGATACTAAAAATTTATGGATACGGGTACGGTAGGGATACGTCAATAGATATATATAAAAAATACCTATGAATACATATAAGAAAATTACATCATAAATCTCAGTATAAAAAAACACTCAATCAATATAAGAATTAGATTTATTTTGACGTTCACAATATAGTTTAAATTACAAGAAAAAGATGTATTAGAGATAGAAAAACATACGGTGATCGGAGTAACGTAAACCTTGTTGACTTGTAAAGAGACAAGAATCGAGACTATTTGAAAAAACGAATGTCGATTATATATGAGATGTATAATAAATTTGAAACCCTATTTCATAATAATTTTTTTATGTTATACATTTTTTTCATTTTTTTCTTAAAAATAATAATTAATATATATAACAAACAACGGAAACACTAATTTTTAGCATAATACGTTTGAGAAACGTCTCTAAATTCGAAAAGTTTTGTCCCCGTTAATTGTCGACGTCCCTAACATGTTAGAGGCATCTCGGGGATGTTTCGGTGGTGTCTTCGAGCCGTACCCATCTCCGAGACGTTTCCGGTACGGGAGACGGCACCAAAACAAAGTACATGTGCTTTATATGTCAAGCTCTTTTATCTTGAGTGGTTCGGATTGATTCTTCTAGAAAAAAAAACATTCAACCCTAGCCATGTTCGTTTCGCAGTCGCCAACGACTGTGATCAGCGGGTCGTTGAGTTGTTCGTTTTGTAGTCGCTGCGATTGGTCCCTAAAATCGGTCACTATATTGTTCGTTTGGTTGTCGCTACGACTTATCGTTGTTGTTTGTTTAGCTGTCGCTGCGACCAGTTTTTAAAATTTGAAATATATATTAAGCTTTTAAATACAAGATATTATATGAAGAAGTGCTAATTGATACACTAAAATAAGAAAATTAAATGTAATAACCAATAGTTCATAAATATTCATTCTAACCAAACAAAATCATATAAAACAACATAATAAAAATCTCATAATAACAAAAAATTTCATAACAAAATTCTCAAAGAAAAACTAAAAAGGTCTCATAATAAAAGATTTTAGTAAGGTAGATGGCGTCCTCTACCAATTTCATTCGCGATTGCATCACCCAAACTTTCCATAGTTCTATCACCTATTGGTTCATATGGAGTACGTCCACCGTGATGATCACCATTATTCTCATCACATCTTCGTCT